CAGACATTGTGCCCTTCTTATCCCCACCTAACAGATGGGAAAACTGGGGAACAGATAAACAGATTCAGTAATTTGTCTAAGGTCACACTGCAATTTCTGTGTGGTGATGTCAGGTTTCCCTGTTAAGCCTGGACTCATAACCTTTAGCAGTATGCCTCTTTATTAAATGGTCTGTTTTTAGGTGGCAATTTCATCTTAAAACAAATTCAGCATTAAAAAGTATTTCTCTTCAAGTGAATTTAGCATGTTGGGGTCTGGAGAGATGGAATCGTTTACTTTAACTGCTATTCATTGAGCCTCAAAAAGAAGCCCCTTACATGTTTGCTTAGGACAAATGATTATGCTGGATAAATACTAAAAACTGTTTTGATCTTACAAAATTTACTATCTGTGTACCTTTGAAGGGCAAAAACAAACTGCGGCTGGGAAAATTTAGTGCTTGTTTACAAGCTTTATTTCCTTTGGTTCCCCAAATTTGCACACACAAAGAGGGCATCATGGTTGGATTTTAAGGGCCATTGGCAGCAAGAAAGGTAAGCAGCGGGAATCAGGGACCCCCCAGTACCTGCCACCCTGATGTCTGTTGGCACGAATAAATGGTCTGGCTGGCTGGCTTTAAGGGACAAGACGAGGCTCTTGATGAAGAGTACTCTATTCACGCTCTGATTGGAAAAACAAACTAAAACACATTTAGATATAAACATGATAGGAACTGTTAAAAAGTCTTAATTGTTTAGTAGGTGCCTATTATCAATCTATTTTTCATAGTGCAATGCATCAGTTTTATTGAATACTTTTTAAGGGATCAAGCATGGGCTTCTTGTTTACTGCTTATTCTTTATCTACCCCCTTGTGTGATTTTTTGTGTGTGCATACCCTCTACTTCCATTATTTCTTAGGATATTATTATTTTTTAAAACATCATTGTGTTGGAGTTAGATGCGGTCTTGAAATTCACTTGGTCTAGCACTTTTATTTCAAACATTAGAAAACAGAAATTTGAATGATAGTATTTTATCTCTGTGTAGTAGTTTCTGATAGAAAATTTGACTTAATCATCTCTACTAACCTGTGATGACTCGTGCCCATTTTATAGATAAGGAAGTGAGTTGGTTGGATTGGGGTCAGATAGCTGGTTATTAGCAGAGCTGGGACTAGAACTGCGGTCTTCTGATTGGTGCTCAGGTCTGTTTCTGTTGCATCATGCTGCTGCTCATACTCTTGGAAACTTGTGACTGTTGCACATCTCACAGGAGACTAATCCAACACTCCCAAGTGTTCATCCTTCCTGGCTTTCAAAGGTCTGATTAATCCTTGTAAGCGACATCAAAACAAATGAATTTTGTGTTACTTTTCAGTTCAAAAGTCATAAGACTTATCTAGTGTCTGAAGCTGATAAGCAGCATTTAATTATTTACTGAATATAGAGCTGGAGGCCATTTTTCTTCTCTTTTAAAAGTTATTTAGTTTTATGAAAGATGAGCATTTGTTGATAGAAGTATTTGTTGAATTAACGTGTAAAGACCCTGAGAATGCTGGATCAAAGTAGTTTTTTTCTTTCTTTTTTATTGCGTTTCAGGTTTTGGGGTACATGTAAGGAACATGCAAGATTGTTACATAGGTACACACATGGCAGTGTGATTTGCTGCCTTCCTCCCCTTCACCTATATCTGGCATTTCTCCCCATGATATCTCTCCCCAGCTCCCCACCCCCAGCTGTCCCTCCCCTAATTTCCCCCCAACAGACCCCAGTGTGTTATGCTCCCCTCCCTGTGTCCATGTGTTCTCATTGTTCAACACCCGCCTGTGAGTGAGAACATGCGGTGTTTGATTTTCTGTTCTTGTGTCAGTTTGCTGAGAATGATGGTTTCCAGGTTCATCCATGTCCCTACAAAGGACACGAACTCATCGTTTTTGATGGCTGCATTATATTCCATGGTGTATATGTGCCACATTTTCCCTGTCCAGTCTGTCATCGATGGCCATTTGGGTTGGTTCCAGGTCTTTGCTATTGTAAACAGTGCTGCAATGAACATTTGTGTGCATGTGTCCTTATCGTAGAACGATTTATAATCCTTTGGATATATACCCAGTAATGGAATTGCTGGGTCAAATGAAATTTCTATGTCTAGGTCCTTGAGGAATCGCCACACTGTCTTCCACAATGGTTGAACTAATTTACACTCCCACCAACAGTGTAAAAGTGTTCCTATTTCTCCACATCCTCTCCAGCATCTGTTGTCTCCAGATTTTTTAATGATCGCCATTCTAATTGGCGTGAGATGGTATCTCAATGTAGTTTTGATTTGCATTTCTCTGATTACCAGTGATGATGAGCATTTTTTTATATGTTTGTTGGCCTCATGTATGTCTTCTTTTGTAAAGTGTCTGTTCATATCCTTCACCCACTTTTGAATGGGCTTGTTTGTTTTTTTCTTGTAAATCTGTTTTAGTTCTTTGTAAATTCTGGATATCAGCCCTTTGTCAGATAGGTAAACTGCAAAAATTTTTTCCCATTCTGTTGGTTGCCGATTCACATTCTCATGACTGTTTCTTTTGCTGTGCAGAAGCTGTGGAGTTTGATTAGGTCCCATTTGTCTATTTTGACTTTTCTTGCCAGTGCTTTTGGTGTTTTGGTCATGAAGTCCTTGCCTATGCCTATGTCCTGAATGGTTTTGCCTAGATTTTCTTCTAGGGTTTTTATGGTGTTAGGTCTTATGTTTAAGTCTTTAATCCATCTGGAGTTAATTTTAGTGTAAGGTGTCAGGAAAGGGTCCAGTTTCTGCTTTCTGCACATGGCTAGCCAGTTTTCCCAACACCATTTATTAAACAGGGAATCCTTTCCCCATTGCTTGTTTTTGTCAGGTTTGTCAAAGATCGGATGGTTGTAGATGTGTTGTGTTGCCTCCGAGTCCTCTGTTCTGTTCCATTGGTCTATATCTCTGTTTTGGTTCCATTACCATGCTGTTTTGATTAGTATAGTTTGAAGTCTGGTAGTGTGATGCCTCCCACTTTGTTCTTTTTTCTTAGAATTGACTTGGCTATGCAGGCTCTCTTTTGGTTCAATATGAAGCTTAAGGTGGTTTTTTCCAGTTCTGTGAAAAAGGTCATTGGTAGTTTGATGGGGATAGCATTGAATCTGTAAATTACTTTGGGCAGTATGGCCATTTTCATATTGATTCTTTCTAACCATGAACATGGAATGTTTCTCCATCTGTTTGTGTCCTCTCTTATTTCATTGAGCATACCAAAACCTGGCAGAGACTCAGCAAGAAAAGAAAACTTCAGGCCAATATCCATGATGAACATAGATGCAAAAATCTTCAGTAAAATACTGGCAAACCAATTGCAACAGCACATCAAAAAGCTTATCCACCATGATCAAGTAGGATTCATCCCAGGGATGTAAGCCTGGTTCAACATATGCAAGTCTATAAATGTAATCCACCACATAAACAGAACCAAAGACAAAAACCACATGATTATTTCAATTGATGCAGAGAAGGCCTTTGACAAAATTCAACAGCCCTTTATGCTAAAAACCCTCAATAAACTAGGTATTGATGGAACGTATCTCAAAATAATAAAAGCTATTTATGACAAACCAACAACCAATATCATACTGAATGAGCAAAGACTGGAAGCATTCCCTTTGAAATCTGGCGCTAGACAAGGATGCCCTCTCTCACCACTCCTATTCAATATAATATTGGAAGTTCTAGACAGAGCAATCAGGCAAGATAAAGAAATAAAGGGTATTCAAATAAAGGAGGAAGTCAAATTGTCTCTATTTGCAGACAACATGATTGTATATCTAGAAGACCCCATCGTCTCAGCCCAAAATCTCCTGAAACTGATAAGCAAGTTCAGCAAAGTCTCAGGATACAAAATCAATGTGCAAAAATGACAAGCATTCTTATACACCAATAACAGACTTAAAGAGAGCCAAATCAAGAACGAACTGCCATTCACAATTCCTACCAAGAGAATAAAATACCTAGGAATACAACTAACAAGTAACGTAAAGGACCTCTTCAAGGAGAACTACAAACCACGGATCAAAGTATTTTTGAGGCAGGTTGTGGTATCTGGTACTATAATCTCAGCACTTTGGGAGGCTGAAAGAAGAGGATCACTTGAGGCCAGGAGTTCAAGACCAGCTGAGACAACATAGTGAGACGCCATCTCCACAAAAAAATTTTATAAAAAATTAGCTGAGTATACTTGAGTATGGTGGTGCATACTTGTAGTCCCAGCTACTTGAGAGGCTGAGGCAGGAGGCTCTCTTGAGCCCCGGAATTCAAGGCTGCAATGAGCTATAACTGCGCCACTGCAGTCTAGCCTGGGTAACAGAGCAAGACCCTGTTTCATAAATAAATTAGTAAATAAATAAATACAAACTATGAATTTGTTCAGTGCTGACCTCTCCCTATTTTGTATGTTGTGAAGCAATATGAGGCAGGGCCAGTGGCCTGCTCAGGTGTCCTGGTGGTGCAAAGATCTCCTGACCCACTCTTTAGCAGTCACCCTTCACACCTGCCTATCTGTCTAGGCAGCACCAGTGTCCCCCTAAGATAAAGCCATGCTACTCAGTAGGAAGAATGAAATAACCATTCTGAGAGGTAAAAGACAAAGGGGTGAAGTGGGTGCCTTCCTCCTCTCTTAGCCTTGTGCCTGCCCCTGAAAGAGTGTGGAATTTAGTGTATACACATTGTCTTTGGTTTCTGGACTAAGGCTGAGCAAGATTAATAACTTGTTATGTTGAACTGCTTATCTTCAGTAGCTAGTGTTTGGACAGTGTGCCATTCCTGTGGAATCTTGGGGACAGGAGTGAGATTTGAGAAGCATTCCTTTCCTCCTTTGTCCTCAGGCAGAGTGGCTTCCAGCTGGGAGAGCTAATTTTCTTCAGATGTCCAGGAGATTCTGGTAGTTTATGCCATTGTCATGCTTCTCATTGATTAGAAGAACCAACTCCGTGGGCCTTTGTGTCTCTCTTTCAGGTCTAACTTCAAACTCGTGGCTGTTAATTCAAAACTCTATGCCATCGGAGGGCAGGCCGTTTCTAATGTTGAGTGTTACAACCCTGAGCAGGATGCTTGGAATTTTGTGGCACCCTTACCCAATCCTCTGGCTGAGTTCTCTGCCTGTGAGTGCAAGGGAAAAATTTATGTCATTGGAGGATACACTACCAGAGGTAAGTGAAGGGACTAAGTAGGTGGTCTGGCCATGTGTAGGTGTCGGCAGCTGGGAAGGGCAAGAGGAAGCTCTGATGTACCCGAGTGTCATTTTATGGTTTAATACCGTACACTTAGACATCTGGAAGGAAGCGAGTCCCATTTGGGTGGGGTGATTGGGACAAGAGGGATCTTTTGATAACTTTGTGTGAGCATGAAAATCAAATGGGGAAGGGAGGGCTGTGAAAAAAATATGTTATTGTTATTTTTGCTTCTGAAAACCCAGCTTTTTGCTCAACTGTCTTGTGATTTGGCTGGGCCTGGTTTGTGGGGTCACTCTCTGAGGTTGGGTAGGTCTTTAGGGAAGATTATCTGGGAACTCCCATTTTAATCTCAAACCTGTACCAAACCTGCCCCCATCCAACATTATGGAATTTAGTACCAGAGCATCCTTGCAGATTAGTTCTCATTTTCTCTTTGCGAGCACACACACATCAGATAGAGGTTCCAGAAACCCAGCTCCAGGACACTGTTCACATATCACAGGACAAGCAAGAACATGAATACAAGAGTTCTTTCCTGACCAGCAGTGGGAGGTGGTTGTACTATCTATTTATTTGTTTATTTGTTTGTTTCTTGAGACAGTCTTCCTCTGTCGCTCAGGCTGGAGTGCAATGGTGCGATCTCCACTCACTGCAATCTCTGCCTCCCAGGTTCAAGTGATCCTCCTGCCTCAGTCTCCGTAGTAGCTGGGATTACAGGCACCCACCACCACACCCAGCTGATTTTTGTGTTTTTAGCAGAGACAGGGTTTCACCATATTGGCAAGGCTGGTCTGTAACTTCTGACCTCAGGTGATCCACCTGCCTTGGCCTCCCAAAGTGCTGGGATTACAGGTTATGAGCCACCGTGCCTGGTCTGGTTCTACCATTTATTAAAATGTCCATGTGTGTTTTTTACTTTTTTGGTGGGCATTTTATAGTTAATAATTTGGAAATAAAAAATTTCTACAGCAAGTTTATTTTTTGTGGAGACGAAGTCTTACTATGTTGCCTAGGCTGGTCTTGAATTCCTGGACTCAAGTGATTGTTCTGCCTTGGCCTCTCGAAGTACTGGGATTACAGGCATGAGCCACCATGCCCTGCTAACCAGCAAGTTTTATACTGCTGTTCTTGGTAGGGAATTGTCTCAGGTAACAGTGGTAGAGAACAATGTGGTTGTTGGTGGGACACAGTGGTTCACACCTGTAATCCAGCACTTTGGGAGGCTGAGACAGGAGGATTGCTTGAGGCCGAGAGTTCAAGACAGGCCTGAGCAACATAGCAAGACCCCTTCTCTAAAAATGAAAAGAAGAAAATTACCTGGATGTGGTGGCATGTACCTGTAATCCCAGTTACTTGGGAGGCTGAGGCAAGAGGATCACTTGAGGCCGGGAGTTCAAGACAGGCCTGGGCAACATAGCAAGACCCCTTCTCTAAAAATGAAAAGAAGAAAATTATCTGGATGTGGTGGCATGCACCTGTAGTCCCAGGCCCAAAGATCCTTTTTTGAGTAAAATCACCATTCACAGGTTCAGAGGATTAGGAAATTGACATATCTTGTTAGGGACCACCATGCAACCCACTGAAGCGATGTGTATATTTATGTATTTAAGGAAAGGCAAGACAAAGAGAAGTGCATTGGAAGCAGTGATCTTTTTTTTCCCCCCCACTCCAAGTTTCTGTCATTTGTCAAGCTATTCCCAATGTCTCTCTCTGGTGACTCTCCACTGAAGATAGTTTTCAACTTTTTCTTTAAATATAATTGAAAAAAAAAAAAAGAGAGAGACTTAGTACTCATTTCTTTGACCTTCAATATTGGTTGTCAGGTTACAGTGATTAACTTTATAGGTTTAGACTAAGCCATGGGCCTCTCAGTCCCCCCGAACTCCTATGTTTATGTAATAATCCTCTCTCTCCTCTCTCTTTCTCTCTCTCTTTCTCGTGTGTGTGTGTGTGTGTGTGTGTGTGTGTGTGTGTGTGTCTTCTAGGAAAGTAAATACAGTTATTTACCTATGAGCAATTCTAAGAATTCTGATTCCTCTCTAGATTGAGTAACACAGATTGCATCTCGTGGACTGACATAATGCACATGTGCTTTGACTTCTCTTCTGACCAAGGCTGTTCAACACTGACAGGCAGCACTGTAACCCAAAGAGTACTTTTCTGGTAGATTCCTAGTTTTTCCATGATCCTGGCTGAGCAAATGTCCTTTAGATTTGACCTAGAAAACCCTTCTTGTGTGTTTTGTAGCTTCACAAGCCACTGCTAATGTACCTTCTTCACTTGGGCCACCCACGGTGATTTCTATCCTGGATTCCCTGAGCCAAATACCCATGATGGGATGGTTCAGTGATGTGGATGGATGGCTATTTGTGTAAGGGCTGAAACTAGTTTTCTAAGATGGGAGAGCTGGGCAGTTACTTACACGCTGAAGCGCTCCTTCTTCTTTGGTGGGGCTTTCCAAGCACTGCCTAATAGTTCTCTGTATTTAAGATAAGTCATGATTGTTAGGAAAAAAAAGGAAAAAAAAGGAAAAAAAAGTTTTTAGACTCCTGACTTCTTAAGTAAGACTCTTAAAATTTAGCAAATAATACCTCATGATTTTTATGATGGCTATTTGATTATTTTAATTCCTTGGCAACACTGAAGAAATTCAAAGACGTTCAATAGCGAGTAATAGCTATAAAGGGAAGAAGGGTGATTTGTCAAACTTCAGAATCAACTTTAAATGTAAAAACAAAAAGATCATTCCCCCTAATCAAACCACCTCATCATGGTCTGAGCCCTTGTTGAGTGAGGAGAGAAAACATTTACAGAACACCTGGAAAGACCTTCAGGCCTGGAGCTGAGAAATATGTGGAAGCCTCACTAGAATGAGTTCTTTATTCATTCGGTGGACGGCCAGGTTACTAAGGAGCACTTTTTAATAAATTATTGACCAAAATCCCCTTGGGCCATCTCCTAAAATGATCTTTATCATAATAGCTATAGTAAAAAGAAATATGGAGAGGTATTAATACGGTTGGAAATCAGAAGGACAGTTTCCTAACACTGTAACTTACACTTCTGAGATTTCTGCAGGCATCAGGACGTGTGCATGCACAGGACTTTGCTGTCTTAGGAGGTACCTTAGTTTGTATCAGATGTGGCTTTGGAGGGTGCTCTTTAAGCACTGCTAATTATGGGTGGGTTCTTCTCAGAAGGAAGAACTGAAAGAGGTATGAAACTTCTGAGAAAATGAGCTGTCTTCTCTTACCAGCGTCTGCAGCCATCAAAATGCTGTAGGCTTTAGTTGTCTGCCAGTTCCCAAGCTGAGCTGTCTCCTTCATGGTTAGGATTTATTGTTTGTTTAGAAAAAACAACAACATTCTGTTTATAACTCAGAGCATTTGTGTTTTCTGCTGAAGCTAAAATACTCATTTATTCTTTCCTAGAGGAGAAAAGAAAAAGAGAACAATTAAAAACAAGAAAAGCAAAACTAGATATTCTAAATTTCATAAGCATTTTTCACAAAGAGACTAGGCAGTATTTTTCCTTAAAGAAAATCACTTTTTTTTTTTTTTTTTTACACTTTTTTTTTTTTTTTTTTTTTTGAGACACCAGGATCTCTGTCACCCTGGCTGGAATGCAGTGACGTGATCACAGCTCACTGCAGCCTCATCCGTCCAGGCTAAAGCCATCCTCCCACCTCAGCCTTCCAAGTAGCAGCTGGGAACATAGGCGCACACCACCATGCCTGACTAGTTTTTTATTTTTTTGTAGACAGGGTCTCACCATGTTGCCCAGGCTGGTCTTGAACTCCTGGGCTCAAGCAAGTCCTCTTGCTTCAGCCCCCTAAAATGGGGGGATTACAGTCCTAAGACACCATGCCTGGCCAAAAATCATTATTAATTAAAAATGCCAGAGCAGCCTTTTATCTAGACTTTGATGTTATCTACACTGCAACTATCTCTTGTGAAATGGGAAAAGGCAGAGGGGAGGACCTTTGTTATTGTCTCTCTGGGGATATAATTGGGAAACTAAGGCTGGGCATGGTCAAGACCCTGTCTTTACAAATAAAAACAAATTGGAAAACCGAATTGCCACGTGATTCTGTGGCTTGGTACAAGGCCGCAGGTGAGACTGCTGCATTTCTCCTGACTTGTAACGTTGCGTCCTTTTCACTAGACAGCCTCTGGAGAGCCTGTGTTGCTACTTGTCATGTTTCTTAGGATCAGCTGTCAAGAACAGATGTAGTTGCTGCCTAGCCTGGCTTCTGTATTAAGTAGTCGGTAATTTTGTAGCTATTGATGAGAGTTCTGATGCATTTAGTTTTTTTTACACTGACCTGGTGGTTCAAAGGTGTGGGGGTCCCAGGGAGGAGGGGCTGTGTGAAAGTCAGAGCTGTTCTTTTCCCTGGTTTTATCCAGTCTGAGTCTCCCAAGGAGGAGACGTTTGGGAGGGGGAGGTGAGTGTGGGTGGATCTAAATATATCTCTTCCCAGCCATTTTGAAAACTGTTTTTCCAACTTGTGCTTTTTCCAAAACAGTTTTTTTCTCTTTGTTACCAAATTATGCAGGTAGAGGTAGACACTTCTGTGCAGCCTAGCCTAATGGTGTTAGTGGGGGCGGTGTCATCACTTGTCTGTCTTTCTTTCAGACCGGAACATGAACATTTTGCAGTACTGCCCCTCTTCCGACATCTGGACCCTCTTTGAAACATGTGATGTCCACATTCGCAAGCAGCAGATGGTGTCTGTGGAAGAGACCATCTACATCGTGGGGGGGTGTCTCCACGAGCTGGGGCCCAACCGCAGGAGCAGCCAGAGCGAGGACATGCTCACCGTGCAGTCCTACAACACGGTCACCCGGCAGTGGCTCTACCTCAAGGAGAACACGTCCAAATCGGGGCTTAACTTGACTTGTGCGCTCCATAACGACGGCATCTACATCATGAGCAGAGACGTCACCCTGTCGACCAGCTTGGAACACCGAGTGTTCCTCAAGTACAACATCTTTTCAGATAGTTGGGAAGCATTTCGGCGTTTTCCAGCCTTTGGACATAACTTGCTGGTGTCTTCTCTTTATCTGCCCAATAAAACAGAAACATGACTGAATTGAATTCGTAGATGAAAGAAAACTGGTTCAAGATTTTTTTTAAAAAACGTAGTGTCCCATTGCAAGGGAGACTGATTCCTAAAGGGTAAAGAAGGGTTAAAGTAGGTCACATATATACAGTAGCAGCTGTAAATAAGCTTACTTGAACTAATTACTTGAAAACTTGTGGAAAAAAGAGACCAATTTTGTTATTTTTTAAATTATTGATTTTTTAAATTATGGGAGCAAATCCATCTCCAGACATGATACTCTTGGGCCAATGACGGATCATCAAAATGTAGATTCATTGTGACTGCATGGTAAAGGGCCACAGTCAATAATTGGAACAAATGGTAAAGATGATTTTTAAAATCTGTTGTATTTAGGTCCCTTTACAGATCATTAGCACCTTATGTGAGAGATTTTCTTTTTCTTGCCAGTATACTTGACAAGCATTCATATTAACATATTCATTCCCTCTTCTCCATCAAGCATACCCACACATACATCTAGTATGTTTAAAATAGGGTTCTGTGTTCAGATATTTTCTTTGCACACTACTTTTTAGGAAACTTACAATGATGGAGCCCTGCAGTGAATCCTTGCCAGTGTTCAGTCCTCCTTAAAACTTGCATAAAAACACTCTCAGCTATGTTTCCAGCCTTCTTTGCAGGTACAAATGCTGGATTAATAGATTGATATAACCTCTTATTTTATTTATGTGACAGATTGCATACTTATGTGGTCACATAGGTTGCATTGCTAGGTGTTCTGTATAAAGAGGATATGTTATTTAGAAAAAATGAATATATGAATATTTTTAAAAATTGAGTCTTAAATTTAAATGGGAAGGGAAGAAAACACCAAATAAGACAAAAATTTGCCTTTGAGAGTTACTTTTATTGAATGTATTTGACTTAGTTCTTATTTTAAGGCTTAAAAAAAGTTTATCATATTTAAGTCAGGCAACTAATTTAAACTTAGCTTTGTAATTCATGTTTTGCTTTTGTGGACTAAGGTAAGGACAGCAGTTAAACATTTGTGCTGGAGTAAGAGGAAGAAACCCTTACAGAAGTGGAATGGCTTCTGGTAGTATTTCTGAAGTTAGGTAAAGTGCTTTTTACTTGCCTTGGTTGTTAATTGAAATAGAATTCAGCTCAAGCAGCTGTTTTCACTGAGGGAGTTAACAATAAAAGTTTCTGCCAATCATAGATCAGCATTCCTCAAAAATATATATACTCATACTTACAGAAATTTTATTTTGATTGAAAAACACTCTAAAATTATCTGATATTTTGTAATGGAATCAGTTAAACTGAGCTGGATTCCATCATTCTGCACTAACAGCAGGCAGAACCATTTAAGTTAGTGTGTGCCTCACTTTAAGAAAATCCCGTTGCGGGAAAAAAACTGTCAGAGCAAATTCATGCATTCAGCAAACACGTATTGAGTGCCTGCAATATGCCGTCCACTGTGCAGATGTAGGATGGGGCTAATTACTTAGAGTTCTTCAGTTTATTATAGGGGTCACTATAGGGTTTCTTTACAACTATGGTCTCTAGTATATACTTAAAATAACCGTCCAGTTATAAAAAGCCTATTTGCACAACTTTTTTGGGAATACTTCTATTAAGTAAAATGAGGTAAGCCATTATTTTGGACATAGAAACAGATCTTTGTATCTTGTCACCAAATAATCTTATCTCTGAAGTCTACTTATAACTTTGTAAGGGTTTCTAAGCTGTGCCCATTTATTCCCAAATATTAAGCCCTTAAAAAGGTAACCTCTGAACAAAAATCTGTGCCCAGTAATAGTACTTAATAGATTTTAATGTTAATTTATATTCATTATAGAATTGAATTTCCAGTGACCTATATTTTATTACATATATTTTAAAATCTAATTTATTTTAGATGGTGTTAACTTTTTCTTGCTGAAGAGCTTAACTTTTTAAAGGCTTAGTCCTATACATTTAGAAGATGAGTCAGTTGAATTAGTACTGGACAAACAGTTGGAGATTAGCTTGCAAATAAGCACATCATATCAAATACAGTATTCCTGCCAACCAGTTAATTCTCTTCCTGATTACATTATTTGGATCTGTTTGCCTAATCTTAACAATTAGATTCTTGGACCAAGTGTAGGTATACTCTGATCCGCAAAGCTCTTTTATAAACCAGGTTTGGGTTGTGTGTATGTGTGTGTTTGGATAGTATAGCTCTCTTTAGGACAGGCATCTATCAAGATTTTGTTATTCTGGGCTGCCAGCAGTACTTGAGAAAGGTAGAATGTGCAATAGGAACAGATTTGTGCATTTTGGGATATCCTTCCTGCCGTGCACATCAGCTGTGTTGACATTTTGAGGATAGTTTTAATTTAGCTGTCTTCTTGTTGGTGCCAGTTTACACTGAAGACCCTACCTATGATAGAGGCAACGTTGTTTTGAAAATCTCCCTTCATCCCCTAGGACTGTCCTTTACTCCTTGATAGTATCTCTCCATTTTCTTCCCAATTCTCTAAATGCTTTATCATTTTTTTTCAGAGATGCTTCTGAGGGACCCTGACCTCCCACTATGGGGATGGGGTTGCTTGGAGGACCTGGGGTGACAGCCCACTGACCAGAAGCACCCTATTTTATAAATAGCGGCTTGGATGGTGGAGGGTGAGTCTCATGTGTGGGTTGTTAGAAGGCTGGTTCGGACGTCCTGTCATTCTCTCTGGCTTTCCTTTCAACCCCCTCAGTTTCAGAGGCCTCTCCCCTTAGCATCCTTTAAAAGGTTTTCTCATGAATGTCTACAAGAGTTGATTATTTTGACAGTATAGGTTAAGTCACAACGACGAAGTACTGAGAAGGTTATCAGTACCAGGAAAACAGAAGTCTTAAGATTAGAATGAGAACCAAAGAGAATTTAACCCTGCCATTTTTTTTAAACACCAAGATCCTAAGTAATTCTAAATGCCTTAGATATCAATGAAAGCTACACACCATTGAGATGAACAAAATTCTCTCTCTGTGAAGGGAGTAATCAAGTAAATGCCTGTTCTCTTTCAATGGACTGTTGCTTATTGAGCATTGTGGATAATGTGTTTTCAGATTTCCAGTTCTGACCCTACCTGTTTGGCCAAAGATGTAAATTGAGAGGAAAGGCCTTGGTCTTCCTGATCAGCCAGCATTTAATGAACAGTGGCTTAATGCAGATCACTCAAGAGGCAGCACAGCAGTGTAAAAGGAATGTAAGTAGGAGTTGGATGCCTTTTTCCTAGGCCAGGAATGGGGAATACATAACATCTGTGCCATCGTTCTTCTAAGGAGGCATTATTGAATGAGTGCAGCATTCCTTTCCTCTGTGCCAGGATTTGGTCTTAGAATCCATGTCAGATGGGTGCTTCCAGACATCTATTCCCAATCCATCAGCTATTTGCCACCCCTGCCTTAGACAGAGGAGTGAAGGAATTAAGAGGGTAGACACCAACCAAAATGGCTTTGAAAGCAATAAGCTGATTCAGCTCTAGTCCTGTGGTAACTAGAAAGTGTCTGTCATGTGCAAGACAATGCTAAGAACTGAGAATGCAGATATAAATGTCACAGTCCATGACCTTGAAGAGCTCACAGCCTTATAAAGAGGTTCACTGTAATTGTCTTCACCAGGGCGTCCTTCTCAAAGATGCCTACTTTTGTCTGGCACATAGGGGCATGGTGGTCTGGTGGTCCCTTCCATCTTGGCCCAATCTATCCTTTGTTTTTGTGATTTACTAACAATTACCATTAACCAGTTTTGTTTTTCTTTTCAATTTGAACATCACATCCTGTGTTTTAGTTTTTTCCTCTATGCTTTTCTCTCACTGCTTTTCATAGTCTTCTGTGTACTTTATTATTATGAAAAAAATGAAAATCATATGTAATTTGCTTTATTTTAAAATGCTCACTAAGCACTGCAGACTTTGCAGTTGGGGTCCCAGCTGCTTGGTCCAGTGGAAAGGAAGAGTGAAGCCAGGGAAGTTAGTATCCAGGAGGGGCAAGTTGATTGCATGTGCATTTATACCTATGCCTTTAAAACATTCCCATAAAAAGAATAAAGAAATTTCCATTCTGCACTAGTACCGACGAAAAGACACTTGATTTTGCCTTGTGATAATTATCAAAGGATAGTTTTTCATCCTTAGGTTTAATTCACATAAGAGCTTTTTTTTTCTTTGTTAACTTAGGAACACATCAGTTCACATCAGCTGACATGTTGCTGACGTCTGTACTTGACATAACCATTTTTATTCCTACAGGAACCATTAAATATAAAAAATGGTCAATTTTGAAGAGCAAAAGGGTGCTGAAATGACTTGTAGGGTTGGCTGGTGCTTTTTCAAATGGATTGCTGTAGTTTATTACTCGTAAAGAAAAGGAAAATGTGATTTACGTTATTGTCGTTTTTTCTATTTAAAAAAAAAAAAACCTTAAGAATGGGGCACTTTAGCTGTCCCCACAATGTTTTCATATCTAGTAGTCATTTTAGGGAAAGTGATAATCTGTAGAATGAATAGTTATGTTTTGATATGACCGATACTTTCTTTGTTAAAAAGGTTGTATTGTCTTCAATTTCAAGTGTAGCTTAAAGTGTAAACATTATGTGATTCATTTGAATACAAGAATGCCTATGAAGTACTCACTATAACAGCATTCCTTTTGTGTTTAGAACTATAGAAGAAAAGATCTTCAAATAAAGTAGTTCTCAGTCACTTTTTGTTGTCTAGGTTCTATGTATCAGCTGCATATTCAGGCCTGTGCCAGGACTAGGAGGAAATGGGTGAAGCAACTCAGGAACCTGAGGAGGGAGGATTGCTTGGGGCCAGGAATTTGAGACCAGCCTAGGCAACAGTGCAGTCCTGTCTCTACAAAAAAATTAAAATAAAATAAATTAGCCGGCGTGGTGGTGCGTGCCAGTAGTCCCAGACACTTGGGAGGCTGAGGCTGGGGAACTGCTTGGGCCCAGGAGTTCGAGGCTGCAGAAAGCTCTGATTGCACCACTGCACTCCAGCCTGGGCAAACAGTGCAAGACCCCAAGTCAAGAGAAATCTATGAATAAATGGACAAATTTCCTACACAGGACACACTAAAGGAGGAGGAGGATGGCTGACCCAGCAGAGTGACACCCAAAGCTAACTGAGCATTTTTTTTGCCAGTAATTCTAAGCATTATTTATTTATTTAATCCTCACATGGATCCCATCTGGTAAATAAAAATATTATCCTCCACTTTACAGTGGAGAAAACTGAGGCACTGTTGGTTACAAATTGCCATTTGGGAAAGAGGAGAAGGGAAAACTACATACGGCGGTCACTCGTCTAAAAGGTATCCTTTCTTTTGCTGGTGAAGGGGTTTCCGAGTGAGCCAATTTCGGAGCCTCTGGTCCTGTTTTTGCAGCAGTGTTCCATGGCTGGCCTGCGCGGAGGTGGCATGGCAGCCTCTTCCTGTGGGCGTGGTTACAGGACATGTGTGGAGGGGAGCTGAACATTTCTGCGGAGGCTGAGGATCCCAGGCTCCTGTTTGTAGGCCATCAACATTTCCTTGGCAGTCAAACTTTAAAAATCCATTTAGGGCTGGGCCTGGTGGCTCACACCTAGATAATCCCAGCACTTTGGGAGGCTGAGGTGGGAGGATCACTTGAGCCCAGGAGTTCAAGGCCAGCCTGGGCAACACAGTGAAACCATGTCTCCATTAAAAAAATAAATAAAACTCAGATGCTGGTAAATCCAATCTCCTGCAACTCAGTAGGATAAAGGCCCAGATTTAGAGAAGCCCAGTTTCTTTAGCTTAGAGCCCATCAGTATGATGTCTGTCTTTTAGTCACAGGCTTCCTGCTCATGCCTTCACCCTCAGTTTGATGGTGTCAATCTCTCTCTTAGCTTTGGGAATCATCTGAAACTGAATGGGTTTGCCGTTTCCAGACTACATCCCAGGAATGCTGCATTAGTAGAAATGATTACCTCTGTGTGGCAGGAGGTGTTTAGAAAATAAAATTCCCACCCTATTTCTCTTCCTCCTCCTCCTCCACGCTCCCCTTCCCTCATCCCCCTCCCTGCTCCTTCTTCCTCTTCCTTCTCCTCCACCTCCTCTTCCTCTTCCACTTTTGGAGACAGAATCTTGCTCTGCCACCCAGGCTGGAGTTCAGTGGCGTGATCACAGCTCACTGCAATCTTGGCCACCTGGGCCAAAGTAATCCTCCCACCTCAGCCTCTCAAGTAGCTGGGACCACAGGCATGTGCCACCACACCCAGCTAAAATTAAAAAAAAATTTTTTTGTAGAGATGGGGTCTTACTGTGTTGCTCAGGCTGGTCTCAAAAAACGATTCCCCTGCCTCAGCCTCCCAAGTGCTGGGATTTACAGGTGTGAACCACGGAGCCAGGACCCCCACTCTATTACTTTGCCTTCTCTGGGAGCCTGATCCTACTATATTTTCCTGCCTGTTCATGCCCCTTTAACTAAGGCAGAGAACTTGGCTCCTATAGTTCTGCCAGGCACATACTGTCTGATTCTCTGCAGTCTGCTGGCTACAGGCAAAACGGTGAAAGGCATGGACTCTAGAGCAAGACTTGGCTTCCAAATTCTGCTACTTTCTAGCTATAGCTTTGGGTAGGCTACTTAATCTCCCCAGGCCTCAGTTTCTTTATCTGTAAAGTAGGGATAACAATAGTATCCACTCTGTGAAATTGTTGCAAAAAATTGTATGAGGAAATTCATGTGATGTGTTCAGAATGGCATCTGGCACATAGCACACAATGAATGTGAGCTCTTACTATTTCCAAAGCTGTTTCCTTTATACCTTCAAACAAGCCAGCTTGGCTGGAAGCTTATGCCTTTCCTAAAATACCTTAGCAAAGCCATTAAGAGGTAGCTAACAAATTCCAGATCCTGGCACGTTTCTTTTACTTCTCCCAAAGAGGCAACTTGAATGGTCTGAGGCCCAAGATACAGCAGCTTAATCAGTTGCTTTGCTTCCCACAGAAAGTCAGGGATGAGAAAATTCTATCTACCCCATCCCTTCCCTCGTTGTTGCCCACAGCGATGCCATCTATGTTACCCTGGATCCCAGCCATCTCATGACTTCTGTGCGCCCTCGGCATTTTTGCCTTCCTGGGCCCCTTCCTTGGTTAAAAAAAAATTTAAAATTATATTTTACCACTCTGTATAATGACCAGTGTAATCCAGGCTGGACTCATTATTACACATTCACTCGTTGTCATACTCATGTTTTTATTCGTTTTAAAAATTTTTAGAGATGGGGTCTCGCTCTGTTGCCCAGGCTGGAGTGTAATGATGTGATCATGGCTCACTACAGCCTGGTCCTCCTCAACTCAAGGCATCCTCCCGCCTCAGCCTTCCAAGTCGCTGGGACTACAGGTCTGTGCCACCATACCTGGCTAACTTTATATTTTTTGTAGAGATCGTGGGGGGCATCTCACTATGTCAGTCAGGCTGGTCTCTAACTCCTGGACTCAAGTAATCCTCCTGCCTTGGCCTCCCAAAATTGTGCTGGGATTACAGACATGAGTCACCACTCCAAGCCCTTTAGCCCTTTCTTCTGGTTTTAAAATAAATTGCAATGAAAACACTTTTATGGACCTCCAAAAGTATTATGATGCTTCACCTGTGTGCTTTGGCCCTACACTAAGTCATCCTAGATATACACACCCTTGTCCTATGCCTAGCACTGTTCTGGAATGATCCAGAATGCTATCCCCAGATCCCTTTCTGAGAAGTCTGGAGTCGAATGGCCTGGTTGCAAATACCAGTTTCATTCTCACTAGCTAGTGACCTGCATTTAATCCCACAGACCTCAGTTTCCTCATTTGTGGCATGCTGGTAATAATACCGGCTTCTTTATTGGTTTCTTATGAGGATTACCAGAGAAAATGTCTGTAGACACTTCCCACCAGATCTCACATATGCTCAATGCTCCATACATGATAGCTGCATGTATTTCTTGTGATCACTATTCCTAGGTCATGAAGGTCATAGCCTCACAGAAGGTGCCCCTGAAGGAAATTCAGTTATTTAGTGACTTGCTCCCCTTCCCCATTATCTGGCACATCTGCAGAAGGGGCTTTGGTGAGGGAGTGTGGGCAGGTCGCATGTAGTCATTGCCATTATTTAAAAAAAAAACAAAAAACTTGGCTGGGCATGGTGGTTCACACCTGTAATCCCAACACTTTGAAAGGCCGAAGTACAAGACCAGCCTGGCCAACATGGTGAAACCCTGTCTCTACTAAAAATACAAAAATTAGCCGGGCATGGTGGTGGACACTTGTAATCCCAGCTACTTGGGAGGCCGAGGAAGGAAAATTGCTTGAACCCGGGAGACGGTGGTTGCAGTGAGCTGAGACCATGCCATTGCCCTCCAGCCTGGGGGACAAGAGCAAAACTCCGTCTCACAAAACAAAACAAAACAAAACAAAACAAAACAAAACAAAACAAAACAAAACAAAAAAAACTCATGCACAAAGAAGTAGGGAAGGACTTCCAGATGTGCATTTTATTTGGAAGAGGTGTTGTAAGGAAGAGAGCTGAAGCAGTTAAATGGAACGCTGTGTGTTTCATCGGATTGTTGGTGCCACTGTTGGGTTCTGGGTTTGGGTATGGACACCAGGCTGTCCTGCTTACAGCCAGACCCTCCACTGCAGCAGATTCATGCAGGGTGATTCGGAGCCACTAAAATGTAAAGAAAAAGACTGCGTGTTTTCCCAGCTCAGTTTTCAGAGCGGTGAGTAGGTGTTTTCTAGTAGTGCCAATGTTTATTTGTTTTGAAGTCTTTTCCACTCTGTTGTGGGTCTGAAACTTCACCGATCTTCAGAGGCAGCTTTGTAAAATGAAGTGGGGTTTTAATGTCTCATACTCTTAGATTCGTTGCATCATTTCAAAATATTTTCCACCATGGTGCTGCTCAAAGGTCTCTGTAAAGTGTGGTGGTTATTGTCTCTCTGGCACAATTGCCCTTCTGTTTCCTTCTGAAGTTTGTAAAGTTTTTCAGGCTCTACTGTATAAGGAGCAGGGTCAATTTTACTAGCAGGAGTCTGAAATGAAACGGCAGCTGCTGTGAATGCTGTGTAGAGTAAAACCTGGCATCACATACCCACTGCCCTGCCTAGATTCAAATGCATTCACACAGAAAACCCCCCAGTAAAGAAAATTTCAATGCTGAAAGAGAAGACTCGAGAAAATTACCATAGAATCAGATATGTCTGCATGTGACAGATACCCTAAAATAACAGTCCCTTATGTAAGATAGAAGTTAATTTTTCTCTGAGGACAAAGCAGCGTGGAGGGTAAGCAGTGCAGAGCCAGGACCACCAGTGGTGACTGCGGCTGGCTCATTCCAACTCGAGAGAATTGGTTATTTGCACCCTCTCTCAGTCCTAGGTTCAATGATGTCACACAGGTAACATGAAATTGGCTATGGTGTGTCTGGGTGCTGTGGCTCATGGTTATAATTCCAGCAGTTTGGGAGGCCAAGGCAGGAGGATCACTTGAGTCCAGGAATTCAAGACCAGCCTAAGAAATATAGTGAGACTTCATCTCTTAAAAAAAAAAGAAAAAAAGAAATTGGCCATGGTGGAGGATTTACATCAAAGACTTTGGCAAATGCTGCAAATCAGGGTTTTGCCCTCCAGAGAGCTGGCTGTTTACCACTTATCAGCATACCACTGGGTCTAGCTCTCTAATGGGGTTTAGGGACCCCAA